CCAGGGATGTTCCTGAAAGCCTTGATGATACCATTGTCCTCATTATAGATGATGCAGGGTCCCCTGCGCTGGATACGACGACGGTTTCTCATTTTGCCCTTACCAGCCCTCATTCGCTGAGAGGCATAGACCTTTTTGATATCATTCCAGGCCTTAAGTTTCTTAAGAAGTAAAACAGCCTCCTTGGTCTTCTTGTAGCCTTCAACTTTATCTTCAACCACCAATGGAAGTTCAGGAACTTCCTCAATTCGATGACCTTTAGACATGACAAGTGCTGGTAAAGCTGAGGCGGCCAGGGCAGAGCAGATGGCGTATCGCTTTTGGGTTGTGTTCACTCTTCGGTGCCAGCGACGCCATGTTTTTGTTGGTGCAAACATGCGGCCTCCACGACACGTTTCCAAAAGCACCCTGGCCAGAACGGTGAGTCCCACCACCTCGAACTCTGGGAATCCTTGCCACAGCTCTGCCAGTACCCCATGACTCAGCACTGGTCTGGTGACCTGCTAATTCACTGACAGCATATGGCTGTCTGTTGTTTTTACGCAAGTTGGTGTGAACAAAGTTCACAATATCTGGTCGAATGGGAGCCTTGAAGACAGCAGGCAAAGTGACATTTTTGCCAGATGACTCCCCCTTTTCAGAGTACACTGTTATCAGTGGACGGGCACAAGCCATGTCGGGGAGAGGGAGAAGGCCATGCTCCTCTCCACCCGGTGGCTCCTACAGGAAAAGGGCATTATTTCAAAGTAAATATGTTTACTGTAACACTACATCTTATAAAGAATATGAACTTCCAACTAGACTTTCAATTTAACTGGTATGATCTCTTAAATTTTGACTATAATAACCTTATACCCAACACACTGCTCATTGGTCTAGTGGTATGTTTCACATAACAAGGATAAAGAAAATAAAAGACACATCTACCTTGTTTTAAATTTAACAAAAAAATCTACTCTCAATTCTGTTTCAACTTTATTAGTTCAAGAGGAAAAAGTACTTGGGAAGTTTTTACTACCATTTCCCCCCAAACTGTCACATGTAAGTCCAGCAGTATTTTTCTCATAAATACAAATACACCTTGACTTTGAGAAGTAGAGCTCAAAAGCTTAAAATGGAAAATTCTTAAAAACACTTATGTTCTTTCTACAAGGATCAACAGTAAAAATATTTCAGGCACCTTCAGATATTATCAGTAGTATCATCAAAAATGACACTAAATGTAGCACAAAACTTGTCTTATGATTCACAAAAAATGTTTTTGACCTTAAAAGCACAGAAGTTTTAATGTAAAGTATTCAAGTTAAAAAATGTCTTACAAATTTAACTAAAGGGCAACACACATTCCTTACAGATCCCATCTTAATAGATGATTTTCTGACAAAACTTATCAGATCAACGAGGTAATTACGTTAAAGGCAACTTTCAAAATTTATAAAATAGTATCATCATTGTATAGAAAAAGAGTTAACATGCAGTAAAGCTTAAGACTGGTCTCAGACAGGCGTTCTTGTAAGGATGGCCTTTAGCTGGTATCTGGGAACTTGGATTTCAAAGGGTTCACTGTGCCGAAACTGTACTAACAATGTGGTTTCCTTCTGGGAGGTTCGAATCTTGGGATGTGCTAGGCAAAGAATGCTTCTATGACTACTTCCTAATAAAAACCCTAGGCACTCAAATTAGCTTTTCCTTCAGACACATTTCATGTGTTGTTCCAATTCATTACTGAAAGAATTAAACACATCCTCTATGATTCCACCGGAAGAAGCTTGTATGTGTGGTCTCCTATGAATTTAGTCCCATGTGTCTTCCCCTTTGCTGATGGGATTTCTTTCTTTTTTTTTTTTTTTTCCTTGAGACAGAACCTCAAGCTATCTCCCTGGGTAGAGTGCTGTGACATCACAGCTCAAAGCAACCTCTAACTCCTGGGCTCAAGCGATTCTCTTGCCTCTGCCTCCCAAGTAGTTGGGAGTATAGGCGCCCACCACAATGCCCAACTACTTTTTTTTGTTGTTGCAGCCGTCCTTGTTGTTTGGCGGTCCGGGCTGGATTCGAACCCACCAGCTCAGGTGTTATGTGGCTGGCGCCTTAGCCGCTTGAGCCATAGGCACTGAGCCTGCTGACTGGATTTCTATCTCTTCACTGTAATAAATCTTTGCAATGAGTTCAACTAGATATTGAGTCCTTATTGTGAATCACCAACCATGGAGATGGTCTTGAAGCCCCCCAACATAATCATAAAATGCAAACAGAAATCATGGAAAGTTCTGAGTTAATACATACTGGGTGATCATTAAATACTAATTAGACTGTAATTCTTCAATTATGTTAAAAACTTCTAATGAATCTTATTCATTAAAATTATCTACAAGAAAAATGTTTACCTATATGGGTAAATTATATGTAACTTCTTTTCAAACTTCAACTCTACTATTAAAGATAAAACAGCTAAAACAAATTCATGAAAGTCACCTATCATCTTAAGACAGGTAAGGTGATCTGGAAAGATGAATATTTTTAATATCAACCAAGACTTAGCTATTTCCCTTAATATTCACAGCCTACTTATATACAAATATGGCATATTAATAGACTAAACATTTTATTTATAATTCATTTAAAAATTCCATGAGAAATTGCTGATATTAGCAAAATACAAAGCAATTCTTGGGAAAAAAAGGAAGTTAGTGAATAATAGGATAAAAGCACTAAAAATTCTTTCAGTGTTGAGGAATAATCTGAAAATATTTGGATCAAGAAGATTAGTTAACCACACTTCCATATGAAAGCTATAACCCAACTACAACCCAGGATGAAGGGGGAAGAGGAAGGAGTGGGATGGGGAGGGGAAAGGTGGAGGGAGGGTAAGTGGTCATACCACACCTATGGTGCATTTTACAAGAGTACATGTCAAATCTACTAAGTGTAGAGTATAAATGTCTTAACACAATAATTAAGAAAGTGTAGT